CCCTTACGCACACTGCATCCCCCACCGCCCTCCTGACATCACTTCCCAACTGGTCCCACCCCTTTCCCGCCAAAGCCCTGAAAACCCTGTGCTGGCCCGCCCCCAGCTACAGCCGCCGCCGCACTCACCTGATGATCTTCCAGTCTTTCTCAATAGGGTCCCACTGGAAAACGCTGATCCGCGGCTGCGGGTGGCTGCTCAGCAGCTTCCCAAACTGGGCCTCCCCGGGCGCCTCCAGCGTGTATCGCACCACGATCACGTTCGAGGCGGGAGCTGTCACGTTCAAATCGTCGATGATGAAGTTCCCCAGATCAGGTGGAGTGTATGTCGCCTGTGTGGGCGGCAGGCGCACAGGTGCGTGTGAGCGCAGTCACATTTGGCTGCGTGCGGCCACGCTCGATGCAGGGATGCCGCCTGGGAAGGCTCCTGGGGAGCCGCGTGCTTCCGCTATGCGCAGCAGTCACGCCCCGCCGCCCGCGATCTGCTGCCCCCTTGCATGCGCGCTCGCATGCACGCTCGCATGCATACACATGTGCTCCGCATGCCGCGCCCCTTGCGATCGGGGGCGGCTGCGGCGACGCGCCTTGGTGTCTCTGCTGCCGTCCGCGCGCATGATCTGGTAAGCTGGGTCCATGAGCGAGCGGATACGTGCCAGCGCCGCCGCCTCTGCCGTCGCATTTTCCTTGGCATCCATTGCTGCCGATATAGTCTCAAAGTAGCGCTCCACCAGGCTGTTTGCCAGAAGCTCTAAGTCTAAGGGCTTGAGCGCCCGCGCGTCCGGCACCGGCGCAGCGGCCGGCAGCGGCGCCGCGCCCGCCGCGCTGGCGGCAGCGCGCGGCGCGGCGGGGGGCGACGCTGCCTGCCGGTGTGCGAGGCGGCGTGTGAGGTGGGCGGATTCGACGCGTTCGTGTGTAAGGTGCTCGCTGGGGCCGCCATGCGGTGCGCCGGTGTCTGTGCTCACATGCATGTGGGACCTTACGCGTTGACCCCGGCGGTGATTCATGCAGGCTGGTGGCACATGCGGCGTCCCGGCCGACCCGCACCTGGGCGCCTTGCGTAAAAATTCCCGTTATTCCTAATATATAGAGGACAACAACGAGGAGCGTCATTGCCCGCCTTTGGTCAGCCGCTAAGATCCACGCCCAGTGACGCCTGCGCTGTTTTGGTGTTGAAATTGCATGAGCACATAGGTCTGGCCCGGGAGTCACTCCTTTTGTCACGGGTGCAGGACGCCGACCACGCCGTCACCCGGCCGCCCCGGGCGCGTTTGCTACGCTGCTTCTCCGAAGCTGCAATGCTCTGGCTCATCAATGCTGCGCAATTTGCCCATGAGGCCGCTTGAAGCACTCCTGATTATTTCACGCTTTCAGTAAATGCTGCTGCCATCTGTTGCAACATGTGGCGTCATCCCTTGTTCAAGGTGGTCCGCCCTGCGCAGCTTCAACGCATTTCCATTACGCGCGACGAAGCGATGACGATGCGCCCAAAGGCCGCCCTGCTGGCAAAACGCCCGTGTGTTACACAAGATGCACATGAGCTCCTTGAGCTCCAACGACCTTCAAGTACAGCCAAAGGGGCGTGAGCGAGCGCAAAGGGGAGGGTGGTGCGTGCGTCAGGGCGGGTGCAATTATCATGAGCAGCGACCCCACGCACAACCGGGGCATACGTCCAGCACGCAGGCGTAACGTTTGGTGGCACAATGGCGTGCAGTCGCGAAACAACAATCAAATGTTTGTAAGCCGCATTAGTAGCGGCGGCGGAAGGGCCAGGAGGGAGCAGTCAGAGTTGGGCGGTCACTCACCGTCTGCTGTCACAGCTTGCGTCCCCGCCGCCTCAAGCGCCGCGCGCGGTCGCACCACAAAGAAAGCTGCTGCCATGCTGCTGCTGCAACTCCTTTAAACCGTCAGCCCTCGCGCTGTCGGCTGCCCTCCCTCCAGCTGGCCTGATGCCGTGTGGTGAGTTAATGCTGATCGGCTGCGTGCCGGCTTCATCACGCGGCAGCCACTGGCCCACGCACGTCCTGATGGCGGACGGCGCTGCTGAGCGCCACGCCCGCCCCGAGGGGGTATGTGCGCGCCCAGCAGGACCAGCGCCACGTCGCTTGGCCGACACACGCCGCCGCTGACGGCTGCCGCAAACCCACGCTGCCTCCCGCCCAGCTTTCCACCCCAGCTGTCCTCTGCCGCCAGACCGCGCCCATCACGCTGCATGCCCTGACTGCTGCCGCCGCTTCCACCACACCACCACCCACACCCGCACTCCACTGGCCAGCAGCCCAAGCCAGCCGCTGCCTGCTGAATAATGCTGCCCGCTCCCGCAAGGCTGCACGCTGCCGGCCTCATAGCGCGGGCAGTCACTGGCCCCCGCCACCGCATAGGGGTGGCGCTGCTGGGCGGCCCGCCTTCCCCGAGGGGGGGCGTGCGCGCCCAGCCGAACCAGCGCCACGGCACTCGGCCGACAGACGCTGCCGCTGACGGCTGCCGCCACCGCACGCTGCCTCCTGCCCAGCTCGCGACCCTTGCTGTCCTACGCCGCCCGACCGCACCCCGCACGCTGCATGCCCTGTCTGCTGCCGCCGCTTCCACCACACACCCACCCACACCCGCACTCCACTGCCCAAGCCAGCCGCTGCCTGCTGAATAATGCTGCCCGCTCCCGCAAGGCTGCACGCCTGCCGGCTTCATAGCGCGGGCAGTCACTGGCCCTCGCCACCCTGATGTGGGTGGCGCTGCTGGGCGGCCCGCCTTTCCCGAGGGGGGGCATGCGCGCCCAGCCGAACCAGCGCCACGGCGCTCGGCCGACAGACGCCGCCGCTGACGGCTGCCGCAACCACGCGCTGCCTCCCGCCCAGCTCGCAACCCTGGCCTTGCTGTCCTATGCCGCCCGACCGCATCCCGCACGCTGCATGCCCCAACTGCTGCCGCCGCTTTCACCGCACCCCCACCCGCGCCCGCACTCCACTGCCCAACCCAGCCGCTGCCTGCTGAATAATGCTGCCCGCTCCCGCAAGGCTGCATGCCTGCCGGCTTCATAGCGCGGGCAGTCACTGGCCCCCGCCACCGCATAGGGGTGGCGCTGCTGGGCGGCCCGCCTTCCCCGAGGGGGGACGTGCGCGCCCAGCCGAACCAGCGCCACGGCGCTCGGCCGACTGACGCC